TGAGCCGAGATCGCGCCATTGCACTCCAGCCTGGGTAACAAGAGCGAAACTCTGTCCCAAAAAAAAAAAAAAAAGAATACATCTTATTGTAAGAATACATCCACCATGCAAAATATGTGTTATTGTTATCAGTAAGACTTCCAGTCAACAGTAGGCTATTAATAGTTCAGTTTTTGGGGAGTCAAAACTCATACATGGGTTTTCGACTGCACAAGGGCTTGGCACTCAACCTCCACATTGTTCAAGGATCCACTGCATTTGGGAAGAGAGGAGAAAATCATGTGAGTTCTACCACCTGTGTAGCCATAAGTCTCCAGTGTGTGCTCTAAGAATACCTCTGTGCTACTGTGTTGAAACAAGGTTGAGGGAGGAACAGAATTCTGCAAGCAGAGCCACAGGGAAGCTGTGGCATGACCCAGTGGGGCTGGAGAGAGAAGGGTTTGAGTTACACGGGGAGATGGGATTGGCAGCACCTGCTTCAGACTGTTCTCACCTCACTGTAGAACACAGCTCGGAAGGCCAAATTGATGGCTCAGTGTGTTTAACGCTGGGAAATGGAGAGACCTTTCACAAACAGTATTATGGTTCTTCATGTTCATTGCTAAGAATTTGGAAATTATATACTTTAAACAAATATATGTAAAATCTCTGCCAAAATTGCTATCTAGCTTTTTATCGTATGGCAGACAGTCATGGTTGTGCTGGCTACCAGTTAGGAAGCATGTAGGTTTGTGGGTTCTCTGCTGTGTTAGAGCTTTCCTTACCATGGGGTCCTCAGGTAGTGTCAGTGGTAGGGTCTGGTGGCATGCACAGTTACACAACACACACTACAAATGCTGGCCTTGGTGAAACAGGAAGCATGGCTTCCCAGAGCCTGGGAGCATCTTCTGAGGCCCCGTAGCAGCTGCTTGTAACTGCTGTGCCCCCAAGTGCCCCGACAGGATTGTAGAAGGACATTTGCTTCAAGTTTTTAGAGCCTGCAAAGAATCTTTCTAAACCTTTCTTCATCTCTGAGTTCTCACATTACATTTGCCACCTTGTAGCCCTGCAATTTGTAGCCAAGAATCAGCCCACTAGAAAGTGAACAGTAAAGATGCTTAAGGAGCAAAGTAAAAAGAGAAGTTAGTGCGGCCATCGAGCCTGGCAGCAGGGCCTTTATCTCCATGTTGTGTTTATCTGGCCTGCCCACCGGGGCTTGAAGGAATCGTGGCGCCGGTGGCTCTCGGCCTTCTCTCAGCAAGCCCCAGGTTACTTCTTTGCCTCTGGTTATTTAAAACAAGAGTCTGAGATTTGCTTTCCTTTAGTTTATAGTAGGTAGCAGAAGAGGCATGTAAAATTCCACATAACAAGTATGCCCTGTGTGCTGAGTAAGGGTCAGAGTTTCTCCTCCTGGCCTAGGGAGGCTTTGCTCCCCAGACCATGGAACACCTGACCACCGTTTCTAATTAACTGTACAGTGTAACAGTAATTTCAGTGGTAAGCCGTGTGTACACCTCCCATGTGGAGCATAAGTGGTATGGGAAGCAAAGTTGGAAACAGCGGCGGCACTTTGGAGGACCTGTAATTTCGCCCTAATTCCTGCTCTAAGACCGGACTCACGGGTGCCCAGGAGGTAAAGGTCAGCACTAGTCAGACGCCAGCTCCACGCGGGACATGGCAGGCATGCCAGCTCCGTTTTCTTTATGAGAAAAGGAAATAAGATACAAAAGTGCCCATTTATATTTCTCTACTATTACGGTGGTTGCAGTAACTCAGGAAAAAGTCAGAATATGATTATCCAGAGGCAGATAAGCCAGTCAGCCAGAATCTGCATCATCCCTTACCAAGAGTTAAATAGTATTTAACAATATGAAAAAACAACCAGGAACTTGAAAGACACAGGGCTAATTTCCCAGAAACCAAACTCAAATGCTTTCATTGACAATTTTTTTCTAGCTGCTATTCTACATGCTAACTGACTTTGTAAAAACGTTCATCTCCTTGTTCGGATATACTGGGGCATTAGGCAGTTCCCTTCCTAACCTGATGGAACCCATTTTGGCTGATGGCCATAAGCTTATGCTGTCCCAAAATCTGTGCCACAGAGCGGAGGGAGAGTTAATGGAATGGTGAGCCCTGTGCATCCTGCACCATTCCCATCTGCCAGCATTTTCTGAGCTCCCAGGCACCAAGCTCTGTGCTGGTGCCAGAGAACCCATGCTGAGCAAGCAAGCTTGCTCCTGCCTCCACAGAACCCCTGGGGGTGGGCACCTTCCTAGTCCCCAGGGAGGCCACCATCCTGAAGGGGGTTTTCAGATTGTGCTTGCTTCCAGAGACTTTGCGGAGCCTTGTTTCACTCCAGCAGCGTCCTTGCAGGGGCAGGCCTTCTCTTGCCTCTGATTGGCTTTCCTTTCCCTTAGCTCTCTGGAAGCAGGTAATCCTTTGCTCAGGTTGTCCTCCCCAAGTTCTCCTTCTGGCTCTCAGTAGGAAGTTTATTCCCATAGATAGAAGCCGCAGGGTCTGCTATTCAGGTCTTCATCCAGGGACACCTGAGTCTTTGGGTCCCTTTCACAGGCATAGTGGGACAAGGGGTGGGATTATCTTTCAGGCATGCTCACATGGTGCACTGTGATCTCAATTTTAAACCTTTCATTAGGGGAAAACTTTTTCATAATGCTGTTTGCCTGTAAAATTGTATTGGCCAACTTTGGTTATTAATGAAGCCTTATTTCCTTAAGCAGTTTTTATCTATTAATTCTTCCAACCACATTGGACTGCTGTTGATTGGACCTTCTTTAGGGCCTTTTGTTTGCTGTGGCCTGTTCAGAAACATTTCTGATATTTGGATTTTATCTAGCATGTGCTGGCACTCAATCATACAATACTAAAATTGTGATTTTTTTCTTCTTAACAGATGCAGCAACTTTTTTATGAGAATTATGAACAGAACAAAAAGGGGTATATTAGAGATCTCCATAACAGTAAAATTCACCAAGCTATCACATTACACCCCAACAAAAACCCACCCTACCAGTACAGGCTCCACAGCTACATGCTCAGCCGCAAGATAGCCGAGCTCCGCCACCGCACCATACAGCTGCACCGTGAAATTGTCCTGATGAGCAAATACAGCAACACAGAAATTCATAAAGAGGACATGCAGCTGGGAATCCCTCCCTCCTTCATGAGGTTTCAGCCCCGCCAGCGAGAAGAGATTCTGGAATGGGAGTTTCTGACTGGAAAATACTTGTATTCAGCAGCTGACGGCCAGCCCCCTCGAAGAGGAATGGACTCTGCTCAGAGGGAAGCCTTGGACGACATTGTCATGCAGGTCATGGAGATGATCAACGCCAACGCCAAGACCAGAGGGCGCATCATTGACTTCAAGGAGATCCAGTACGGCTACCGCCGAGTGAACCCCATGTACGGGGCCGAGTACATCCTGGACCTGCTGCTTCTATATAAAAAGCACAAAGGGAAGAAAATGACGGTCCCTGTGAGGAGGCACGCGTATTTACAGCAGACGTTCAGCAAGATCCAGTTTGTGGAGCATGAGGAGCTGGACGCACAGGAGTTGGCCAACAGAATCAATCAGGAATCTGGATCCTTGTCCTTCCTCTCCAACTCCCTCAAGAAGCTTGTCCCCTTTCAGCTCCCTGGGTCGAAGAGCGAGCACAAAGAACTCAAAGATAAAAAGATAAACATACTGATCCCTTTGTCTGGGCGTTTTGACATGTTTGTGAGATTTATGGGCAACTTTGAGAAGATGTGTCTTATCCCCAATCAGAACGTCAAGCTCGTGGTTCTGCTTTTCAATTCTGACTCCAACCCTGACAAGGCCAAACAAGTTGAACTGATGAGAGATTACCGCATTAAGTACCCTAAAGCTGACATGCAGATTTTGCCTGTGTCTGGAGAGTTTTCAAGAGCACTGGCCCTGGAAGTAGGATCTTCCCAGTTTAACAATGAATCTCTGCTCTTCTTCTGCGATGTTGATCTCGTGTTTACTGCAGAATTCCTTCAGCGATGTCGAGCAAATACAGTTCTGGGCCAACAGATATATTTTCCAATCATCTTCAGCCAGTATGACCCAAAGATTGTTTATAGTGGGAAAGTTCCCAGTGACAACCATTTTGCCTTTACTCAGAAAACTGGCTTCTGGAGAAACTATGGGTTTGGCATCACATGTATTTATAAGGGAGATCTTGTTCGAGTGGGTGGCTTTGATGTTTCCATCCAAGGCTGGGGGCTGGAGGATGTGGACCTTTTCAACAAGGTTGTCCAGGCAGGTTTGAAGACGTTTCGAAGCCAGGAAGTAGGAGTAGTCCACGTCCACCATCCTGTCTTCTGTGATCCCAATCTTGACCCCAAACAGTACAAAATGTGCTTGGGGTCCAAAGCATCGACCTATGGGTCCACACAGCAGCTGGCTGAGATGTGGCTAGAAAAAAATGATCCAACTTACAGTAAAAACGGCAATAATAATGGCTCAGTAAGGACAGCCTAATATCCAGCTTTGCTGGAAAAGACATTTTTAATTATCTAATTTATTTTTCAAAAATTTTTTGTATGATCCAGTTTTTGAAGTCCATATACAAGGATATATTTTACAAGTGGTTTTCTTACATAGGACTCCTTTAAGATTGAGCTTCCTGAACAAGAATGTGGTCAGTGTTTGCCTTTGAACCCATCTTCTTGCTGAACATTATGTAGCAGACCTGCTTAACTTTGACTTGAAAGGTACCTGATGAACAAAACTTTAAAGTTTTCTTTTGAGACCCTTTGCTACAGTCCTATGGCAGAAAACGTGAACATTCCTGCAAAGTATTATTGTAACAAAACACTGTAACTCTGGTAAATGTTCTGTTGTGATTGTTAACATTGCACAGATTCTACCTTTTGTTTTTTTTTTTAAGTGTTTTAAAGCCATTTCCTGTTCCAGTTGTAAGATAAGGAAATGTGGTAATAGCTGTTTCATCATTGTCTTCAGGAGAGCTTTCCAGAGTTAGCATTGGTACTCTGCTCAGCATGGCTATGTAGGTGTTTTTTGCATTTTTTTTTTTTTTTTTTTTTTTTTGGAGACAGTCTTGCTCTGTCACCCAGGATGGAGTGCAGTGGCTCAATTTTGGCCCACTGCAACCTCCACCTCCCTGGTTCAGGCAGTTCCTCTGCCTCCACCTCCCGAGTAGCTGGGATTACAGGTGCATGCCACCATGCCCAGCTAATTTTTTTGTATTTTTAGTATAGATGGGGCTTCACCATGTTGCCCATATTGGTCACAAACTCCTGACCTCAGGCAATCCGCCCTCCTCGGCCTCTCAAAGTGCTAGGAATACAGGTGTGAGCCACTGTGTCCAGCTGGCTATGTTGGTTTTAAAGCAAGGGGCGTGAGGAAAGCCCAGTGAGAGATGGGGCCGTTCTTGTGGTAGTTCATTCAGCCTAAATGGACCTGACATTAAATTTCAAGGATGATTTAGCATTTTCTCTTCTTGGCCCTTCTCTTTCAAGGGTAAAATATTAATGTTTAGAATGACAAAAATATCAGATTGTAATAAATCTGATGTACACAAACACACACACACCCCCTAGTGAAAACATGGGGGGAAAACATCTGGTTTTGTTCCTTTCATCCTGTCTGTGTTAAGTGGGTGGAGATAGTTTTCATGCTCTCATTACTGTTTTGTTTTATCCTTTGTATCTGAAATACCTTTAATTTATTTAATATCCATTGTTCAGAGCTCTGCCATTTCTTGAGTACCTGTTAGTATTATTTATGTGTATCAGGAGTGTGTTTAGTATGTTTTATTTGCAGTAAACCGTTCTCCAAAGATTTCCTTTTGGAAACGCTTTTTCCCCTTCTTAATTTTTACATTCCTGTTTTACTAAATATTAAGTGTTCTTTGACAATTTTGGTGCTCATATATTTTACGGACAAAAGTGAAATGAATCTGTCACTATACCAGGAAGTTAGTTTTTTAAATTCTCAGATCAGATGTGCCTTAATAAATTTTTTTTCATTTAGATTTCGAACAGTGATAGACTTGCCATTTTAATACACATCATTTGAAATCTGCACATTTGTAAATAGCCTGTTGCTCATTTGGAAAAATAAACCAGTGAACAATATTTTTCTATTGTACTTTTCAGAACCATTCTGTCTCATTATTCCTGTTTTAGCTGAAGAATTGTATTACATTTGGAGAGTAAAAAACTTAAACACAGCTCATAAAGTTTTTCAAGTTATTGGAAGGAAATACTTCCGTGGACTGCAGTTTGGGAGTGAAACGAAACCCACTTTCAAGTGCTTTCTTACGTTTTTTCCTCCAATGAGCTCGTCCTTTGTTTGCCCCTCATCAACTCACTGACTCCGGGTTCTCCAAAACAAAGGTCTTCAAACCAGGCCCAGGCCCCCATCTGGCTCTTTGATAGAAATGTGCCCTCCTATGCCCCATAGAACCTGCATTTTAACAAGTGCCACGCGTGGGGCTGTGGCACAACTCAGGGTTCCAGATCAATCTAGCTAAAAGATAAATCACACACAGTTGCAATATAACCTTCAAGAATCAAAAGATCTTTGATGCCAAGGTAGCAAGCTCGCGTGGACCAGCACTGCCCCCCCAGGATAGGTATTTACAGTGTAATGACAGTTAAGTCCCAGCATAATGACATTGCGCTCACAGAAAGAATTGCCGTAATTCAGCCTAATTGCTGTTTACTCTATGGCAGTGTTTAGTTTTTTCTTGGAGAAAGCAGGGACATTTTTATTCTTCAGTAAAGAAAAGCATAACATGCGCCTTGACAAAGTAATATAAATTCTCTCCTGTTTACCATAGTAGCAAACCGTAGGGATTTGAGATGTGCTGTGACAGTTCTCTCACATTTGACTGTCAGTCAGCATTTTGGTGACCCTTGGTTAAACCTGCCATTTCCTTCCCTGCTCCCACTCCTCAGGAACTCTGTCCCTCTTCCTGAGAGCGGTGTTGGTGTTCATGGAAGTACTGCCTCCCTCCCAGGCTTGGTTTCCAGAAACATGGTGGGCTCCTCTGGCTCCCCACCCTGGCAGTGGCATGCCTGTACTCCACATGCCGGCCTCCAGGTTCCACTCCCCTCTCAGTCACCTGGTGCTGTTTTTCTGCCCAGAGGGTAGGCTCAGCAGTTCCACTGGCACCCGGGTCCTCCTCACCCAGCTACTGTACTACCATCTGTCATCCCCCATTCCACAGGGCACCTCCTCCAGCTACTGGGCCCTGAGTCGTGGAGGCATCCATGTCTGTGGCCTGGGCACACACTTTCACTGCATCTGGACAACCTGACTTATTCCCCGACGCAGTTAAAACACCCCGCATGGTGTTCACTCCGCTGCCACCCTGGACCCTTCTGTGGGATGTGACGCAACTGGACCTCATTCTGTGATCATGTGGCAGTATCTCCCTCACTGAAGCCCCTCAAGGAGGCCTGGGGCTCTTGTTCCTGGCAGTCCCCAAGCGGGTTGGGAACCACACTGCCCTACTCCCTCCAGCTCCCTCTCCACCTGTGCCTCCTGCCAAAGGCATGTCCTATCCACACTGAGTCCTGCTGCCACTGCACGGGCTGAGACCTGCAGCCCCTACTGGGCCTGGAAATAATCCCTTCCCCCTGAAATTCAGGAATCTTCCTACTTAACCCTTCCACTTGTTGCTTCCCGCTTTATGACTCCTGTGAACAGTATTTCAAAACTGTAGCGTGTAAGTATGGCTGAAGAAGGGGAGAAGGGCACAATCACAAAAGCATGAGTGGGATCCTCCCTCCTCCTTCCCAGTGCCGGCTCAGGCCTTCCCACAACCACCCACCAGGTCCGTGTGTCCTGGCCAGGAAGGCAGAAGTATGTCAGTTCTGCACAGAGGCATAGACAACATTTTTAAACTTTGCACACCAATGAGATTGGGAATTCCTTGGGCATGTGGACCCTGGCGGGGAGCCTCAGGGCAGAAGTACAACACTTAGGTTACAGGAACCAGCAGCTTTCAGAGGCGTTCGCCCAGCTACTAGGGTCTGGCTTCTCAAGACCCATTCTCCAGGAAGGTGACACCCTTGCAGGGCCGCCTGCCTATGGCACTAAGGGGCTCCTGCCCAGGCCCAAGGAGGCTAAGGTTTCCTCTTGTGCCCTCATCACAGAGGATGCCAAGGATCAACCCTCCCTGTGCCTGCACAGACGCCTGCCCTGGGGAATTGGACTGCATTACTGCAGTGTAACTTGCTGTAATCTCTGCTGCAAAGGAGCTTATGTGCTTCAGCTGGGGGGTTTCTGTCAGCTCACACAGCTACACAGGGCCGCTACCTGCCTCAGTCTCCTGCTATGCTTGCCAAACCCTTGAAAGATAGCCCCTTCTGTTCTGCTTGAAAGGAATATGCTCATACCAAATCTGCTTGTCTAACTTGTTATAAACTCCATGGAAATGTAAAGGTTACAATGCAATGGATCAAATTACAGTAACTCATTTTGAATGGCTTCCAGTAGGAAAGCAGATGCTTCAGAGTTTGGTTTGGTATTCTGCAGGGCTGTGGGGGCGAGGGAGGGGGTGTACATCTTCACCGGAAACCATCAAGTCAACCAGATTAGGGGCTGGTTTGTCATCAGTGCAGTTAAACCACTTAAATGGTTTTTGTCAGATATTTCTTAATACGTTTAACTTACTATTCATTATATTTCAGTTATGAGGGTCATCATTTCTTACTAATACAGACAAAAGTGAAATGTCCTTTAAAGAGCATTCTACCTACATTTCCTTTAAAACTGTAAGAGTAGTCAGTTATGCCTGACTACTTTTTAATGAGGAAATATAAGAAATTGATCAAATCACTTCACAGTGAAGTGGTTGGGCAAGATCTGGAAAGGCTTAAATGAAGCTGGCTTATATGTAATGAATTTCTCTCCATCACAATTAAGTCGGTGATGCTCCCAGGCTGCCGCTGCCCCCTCCCCCTTGCCAGCTTGCCACGACTCATCCCCACGGCTCATGCCACAGCCCTCCGCATGCCTCGCCTGCTGCTCCACATGTTACCCCACTGGAGAAAAACGCTTCTAGCCAAGCCTCAAAGCCACCTTCAGATTCATTCATTCTGAATTAAGTTTGGATCAAGTTTTAGGCAAAAGCTTAGTTCTTGTTACAGAATGAAAGGGGAATTTCATGTACAGCCTCAAAAGGCCTGGGCATATCCCAAGGTCTGAAGCTAAAAATAAATCATTTCTAAAAGTACACTTTCTCGGCTCACTGCAACCTCCACCTTCCCAGGTTCAAGCAACTCCTGACACAGCCTCCTGCCACCACTCCCGGCTAATTTTTTCTTTTTTGCATTATTAATAAAGATGGGGGTTTCTCCATATTGGTTAGGCTGATCTTGAACTGCTGACCTAAGGTGATCCGCCTGCCTTGACCTCCCAAAGTGCTGGGATTACAGGCTTGAGCTACCATGCCAGGTCTTTAAAAGTATAGTTTCAAATGATCCCATTAGTGTTGTGAAGAAAGCATTTTGGACTTTTTTTTTTTTTTTGAGACAGAGTCTCCCTCTGCTACCTAGGCTGGAGTGCAGTGGCGTAATCTAGGCTCACTGTAACCTCCACCTCACAGGTTCAAGCGATTTTCGTGCCTCAGCCTCCCAAGTAGCTGGGACCACAGGCATGTGCCACCACCCCCAGCTAATTTTTCATATTTTTAGTAGAGATGAGGTTTCACTATGTTGGCCAGGCTGGTCTTGAACTCCTGGCCTCAAGTGATTGACAC